GGATGCAGCGGCTTCAAACTCACGTCGGTGCATGTGCATGAAAGCCCAAGGTTCCAGGAGGAGACTGGAGGAGAAGGGATTGTGGCCTGGCCAGGCTCCCTGGGGGGAGGGGTGACTTCTCACCTGTCTCTCTCTCTCTGCCTCTCTGGTGAGCACATGGACACTATAACAAAAAATCTCTCACCAAAAAAAAATAAAAATAAAAAAAGTCCAGAAGGGGCAGCCGAGGGTCGATTTGGCAGCCCCCTGACGTCGAGAACCCAGGCTCTTGCCATCCTTCTCTAGCACCTTCAGCACTGGCTTTTCCACCTCAAGCTCTTCCCCTCGTGGCCACAAGGGGACTGCCATAGCACTAACCATTCAAGTCTGACACAACAACCACAGAAGAAAGCCAACAGAGCCACTGTCTCATCATCTTGTGCGTGTGTGTGTGTGTGTGTGCGCGTGTGTGTGTGTTTTCAATTAGCAATAATCGCACCTCGGATAAACCTCATTGGCTACGATACTGCCACTGTGCAGAGCTTGTGTGTGTGTGTTTAAGAGAGAGATTTTTGCTGTAAGGCATGTGTGCTCACCAGAGAGACAGAGACAGAGAGAAAGATAAATCACCCCCACCACATTGCAATCCCTTCTCTTCCATTCTCCTCTCAGGATTTTGGGCATGCACACACATGTGCCTGGTGTGAATTTTAAGCTGCCAGGTCCAGGGCCCCACCCCCACCCCCCGTGGACCTGTCCTGTTAAAGAATAGAATTACCATGTGGCTCAGGCCAGGGGTTTTCCATCTTAACTTCCCAGGAGAACCACCTGGGTAACTTCTACGACAGGCGGATGCCCAGATTCTACCCCCAGATACGGAAATTACCATCTCTGGGAGAGGGGTTTTGGCATTTTTCAAAGCTGGCTTCCTAATGAGTCTAAGGTTCAGTCAGGGTTGAGAGTCACTGACTTAAATCAGGAATCAGAACGCTTCTTCTGTCAAGAGGCAGACAGTGTTTTGGTTTTGCCGTTCGGTCTCGGTGGCATGCCTCACCTCTTCCACAGACTCACAAAAGCAGCAACAGACAAGATGTAAATGAGTGTGCCTGGCTGTGTTCCAATAAAACTTTATGGGCAAAACAGACAGCAGGCTGGACTCTGGCCTGTGACCCAGCCATAGCTGTCTAACTCTTGCTAAGGCCAGTGAGGATCCATGCCCTGGAGCTGGCGCATTTCCACCTGTGCAGAATCGTGACCTTCCCAAAGGCAGGGCCTGGGTTCTGCGCATGCTTTCGCACATTCTCAGCGCACGGCTTGCAGCTCAGGTGATGCTTGTCCAATGACAAAGGCCAAAGGGAGTGTTTACGAAAGAGTTTGAGGGGCCTTTTTCCTGAGACGTGATTCATGGTGAACCTAAACTCTAAAACTCTTTCGGGATAGTGGCTAACACATGGGACTCCCACTTGGCCGACCACAGTTTGAACTCTGAATCTGGGGCTTGAAAATCATACTAAGCACATGTGTGTGCATGCCCAAAATCCCAGAAGGAGAATGGAGGAGAAGGGATTGTGGCATGGCCATCCCCCAGTGAGGAGGCATTTCTTACTTTCCCTCTCACTGTCTCTCTCTGGCGAGTGCACACACCCTATGGCAAAAACCACAAAAAACTGTTTTTTAGAAAGAAGGTAGAAAGATCAGTAAAGAGCCTTATTCCTACCGGTGGCAGGAAGAACAATGGCTGCCACATATGTCCGTCCCTCCTCTCTGGGACCTAGGAGCATGTTATGTTACATAGTGAAGGGGAGTTCAAGTTGCCGACGGAATTAAGACCGGTAGCAGCTGGGCTGAGATTAGACTATTCCGGATTGCTCAGGTAGGACCAATGTACTCACCAGGGTACGGACAAGAGGACGCAGGAGGATCGGGGAAGACAGAGGAGATGTGAGGGCAGAGACAGAGGTGGGGCGAGATGCTTTGAAGAGTGGAAGGGGCCACAAGCCGCGGAATGCTGGTTCAGATGTCAGCAGGTGCTCTGAGCTTCCAGCGTCTGGAAGCCGGAAGAGACAAGAAGGCTTCTCTCCTGGGGCCCCAGAAGGAGTCCAGCCTCCCCACACCCACACTCACACCCACACCTGTTTCTAGGCCAGGGCAACTCGTTCTGGACTCCTGACTTAGAGAACTGGGAGAGAATGGACGTGTGGGGTGTCAAGGCCCTGTGTTGTGGCTGTCCATTATGCAGCCTGAGGGCACTGATACTCCTCCCCGGTGCCTGGTCCCTAACCATGCCCCCCCCTCGCCCCCCGTGATCCACATCACACATCTACTTTCTGCAGCAGCAACCTCCCCCCACCCCACCCCACTCCCGCCCCACACTGCCCCCAGGCTGCCGAGGGCTTGCCAATGGACCGGG